AACAAATGGACACACACACACACACACACACACACACACACACACACACACACACACACACACACACACACACACACACACACACACACACACACACACACACACACATACAGATGTACTCCTATGTTATCCTCTCTTTGTCCTCTGCTGGTGACAGCCCACGCTTTGCAGGGCATGCAGGAAACCCATTAATAAGCCCGGGACTGTGGCAGCTTCCCAACAGCGGTGAACGGGGTTAAAGGTGAAACATTAACTACCTGCCAAAGAAGTGGGATTCTCCCTGCACTGCTACATCTGTCCTTAATTTGACTCTGTACTCCCAGCACACTGCAAACAGATCGATACACTGAGGATATGGGTCTCTGTTTGGGCATTGGTTTGACCAGAAGTCACATTATGGGCCAAGAACAATGCTCCTTTTTCACAGCTTCGGTCTCCTGAAACTGAATTAATAAAATGTAGAATGGCTGGAGACCCCACACTTAATAGCTTTTGATACAGCAAAGATGATTAGCGTGAAGTTGCTACGCACCCCTACAGAAGCGTTAAAACCTGCATGTGATTGTATCAAAGCCGAAAGAGACATCCATCAAATCAGTTTGCCCTGCTAATTTATGCTGCAGTTGAGCATAGAGGACAAAGCAACGGAGGAAATCATGCTACATTATGAAGAGAGGCTGGATGGAGAGATCAGTGACTTTAAAAGTCTGCAGAGAGCTGGCAGTGATTAAACTTCATGAGATTGAGGTGAGCATGAGGTGAGTGGTGGCTCTGGCACTGAAACAATGATACCCGCTCACTTACAGTGCACTACAAAATGTTACAATTTTCTACCCTTGCTGTTTTAAAAATAACATTTATGTTATTATTTCCAAAACATCTACTCCCTTTTCATGTTAGCCATACCGGCTTTTACTCTGATGTCTCATCGTATGAAAACCCTCGATTCGACACACATCACTGTTCATCTGCACCCTTCCACTCATGTACAGTATGTGGCATGAGTGGTGCCACATCATATCCTTAATGCATGTGGATGTGTGTGTGTGTGTGTGTGTGTGTGTGTGTGTGTGTGTGTGTGTGTGTGTGTGTGTGTGTGTGTGTGTGTGTGTGAGCGAAAGAGACAGGCATACATGCTCTGAATGTTTATTGTGTACATGTGTGTCACCTTGGCCTGCTTTTACATACAGATTGGAGGCGCATTAAGTTCCTGTCAGTGCAACGAGTCTCAGAGGAGCTATATGTCTGTCTGTCTGTGTGTGTGTCTGTGTGTGTGTGTGTGTGTGTGTGTGTGTGTGTGTGTGTGTGTGTGTGTGTGTGTGTGTGTGTGTGTGTGTGTGTGTGTGTGTGTGTTTGCGTAAGACAATGCCCTCTGAAACCTTGAGTGCAGCTGAGCGAATACACAAAGATGAGACAAGAGGACCAGCGGTAATGTCATGGAAAATGTACTCTGTTACATTGGAAATCCATAAAACAAATACAGGAATAACCCACATTTAATTTGCTGGGAATCATCAACAGAGGTTTGCTTGATGATAACACATTGGCTTCTAAGTGTGTGTGCAGCAGTGTGTGTTCTCTGGCTGATGTGGGTCTGTTATGAATACACTGCCTGCACTGTGAGGCTTTGCCTAGTGCAATAACACCTGTGACAGCTGGCAGACACATCTCTGAACACACTGACTGACAGTCCCTATATTACTGATGCCATATGAGAGGCACGCCATAAACTCACAGCTGAATAGCTACAACAGAAAGTGGGTAAGTATAGGATACAATAAAAGCTCAAAAACGGCTTTGTTAACTCAATATATCATTAAAAGGGGGATTTTTGGGGTTGACCCCTTCCTGTAGTGTGTGAATATAATCCCAAAGTTCCATAGATGACTTTGAAACCCATCATTTCATCTCTAAATAAGATTACTAACACAGTGACAGAATGGTATAAGAAATTGCGATCACAGTGGAAAGATCATTTCTAGATGTTGTCTGAGGACAGCAGCGTTCATGCTTAACATTAATGGACACACTATCAGTTCTTGTTTTGAGACAATAACATCATGAGAGACCATAGTGACTGGGATTGAATTGTTATAACATGCTCAAGTATGAAATGTATCCAGTGAGAGAAGATTTATTGTTGCGTTGTGATGCATTCGTTCCACCGCTCAGTGCTCTAATTCCCCAGGTCCCTTCATGTTTTCAAAATGGGAGAGAATGTCCTCACGTTAAAACACTGCCAGGAGCCTAATCCAAAAGCGATATGTTAACATATGAAAGCGCTGATCATCTATAGGACCCACGTTGCCAAGACAAAAGAGAAGAGCAATCCTCTGATTTGGCTGCGGTGAGTGGGAATTGAAAATGAGTCACGTCTACATAACGGCGCTGCTGTGTGGTTGTAAAATTGGATGAATCCATTTCTACATTTTTAACTCATTGTTAACGCTCGAATGAAGAATGCGACAAAAGCTCGCAAATGTCCTACTGTAACCATTTAAGGTCATTAGCTTAGTGTTTAAATGCAATGTTATTACTACGGAGAGGCTCTCTCTAAAATGTGAATCAAATCATGTGACATTTTCAGAAATTGTATAAGCAATCAAAAGCCTGGTCCTCTTAAACCATTGCTGTCAGTCATTTGGACTGAGCCTTGGCCTTATTACTGTGTCTGCACAACACACAGAATATGCTAATACTGGACTATAAATCATTCCAATTTGATGGACCCACGTGATCCGACGCATGCATCGCTCTGCACTTCAGAACGCTGCATGTGACACGCCCATATCCAATAACCTAATCCTTTTAAACAGACCCTCCCCCCTGATGAAAGCCACCGTATGTCACCATAGAGAGCTGACTAATGAGCCGGCACAGAGAAAATACCCTTTACCCACAAGGTTAATAAGTTATTACTATATAGCAACAAAGCATGTGCACATCATTCAGCTTGTTTCTGCAACAACATCTGGTATCAGTAGACATCCCACATATTGGCACTTAAGTTTGTTTTCAAACAAATACTTTAATTAACATTTTAAATGGATGACTTGTAATTATTAATGAATAATAATAATAATAATGATGTTAATAATACAAGTAATAATGATAATAATAATAAAATATTCATAATAATGCTATAATAATAATAAATAATAATAATAATAATGATGATGTTAATACTAATACTACTAATAATAATAATAATAATAATAATAATAATACTAATAATAATAATGAAACACAGTAAGGCTTTTCAATATGGTCTTCTTTGAACTTATATAATAATTAATGCTGTTATTATCGCGTTAACGGCGGTAATTCATTTTTTTAATTAATTGCGTTAAAATATTTAACGCATTTAACGCATGTGCAGAATGGCCCGCCCCGTACATCCCACCAGTGGCAGCGCCAGGGTATGGCTGGGGAATTACACGGTTAGCAGCAGTTAGTAAGATTGATTTCCGTAGCCACTTGTCTGGAAATACCGAATACCTATCCTGTGAAACCCTGTCTCCTAAAAATTATGTTCCCACAGAACTAAACTGCATTCTCAATTACGTTCATAAGAAACGTATTTTCTCCCACGTTACGTTTCTTATGAACGTATCTTAAATACGTTTATTTTCTACATATATTTGCCATTTATTGTCTTGCTTATAATAATGATGATAGTCATTTATAAATATCATTTTAGAGCACACATTTGAAATCAGTAGGTGAGGCTGTCATTTCGCCAGCTGTTACTCTCATGAGTGAGGCAGAAAATAATAGTTTTAACATGCCAAAAAGCTGCTGTGTCGTTTATTGCACCTCAAACATTAAAATAAATCCAGAGTTACGTGTTTAACACGTAACTCTGGATTTATTTTAATGTTTGAGGTGCAATAAACGACACAGCAGCTTTTTGGCATGTTAAAACTATTATTTTCTGCCTCACTCATGAGNTCGCTCCCAGTTAGAGTAATGCGCGTTAGGACTAACCGCACCACTAGAACTCGCAGACTGCAGTCCTTAGGTGGGTGGGAAATTCATCGAACGGCGATGCCAGCGTACGCGTTGAGGCGCATCCCATAGTGAGACATCTCACTTCACGTTACTCTGAGAACTGGTGTTACGTAAGTAACCTATAGTTATGTGAAAAAGAGGTTGTATTCTCTTAAATTCCAACTGCATCATCAGAGAATATTACCTTTTTTTAAATTTAACTTTAGCTTCAATCAACTGTCAAGATTAATTAAACCAAAATCTTTCAAAGCTTTGATTTGTATGGTTTAAGGTGGAGAACAGAACTGTCCTGACTACAAACACACATCTCACTATAGCTACTTTAACCTTTGAAACAGTGTGCTTCCTGTGGATGCACAACAGTTCTTTGTTGGCTTGTGGGATATTTTACGTAATTTGACAGAGCTATGAGTACAACAGGGTTTTTCCCTCTCCTGTTAAAACTTTTTTTTCTGAAAGATTATCAATACAAAACAAATGTATCCTCTGGTTTCAGCAAGACAATTTTGTAATTTCATTACTGTTTTAAGTAGTTGTCTTTTCCCTGCAAATGTAGGGACTACATTCTGTGTGCCATTGAGGCAATGTGATTGTTGCTAAATCCTTACTGTTGTACATGGTCCGAAAAGAAAAATAAATAGTCATTACTGCAAGTGACTGAAACATTTCTATATAAGCCCAGAGCATCCCTCTCCACCATTCCCTCAAGGCATGAAACAGTATATAACTGTAATCTTCTTTTGATCTGCCAGAAACAGTGTGACATCTAGAGACTGAAAGAGGGTCCCCTGACAGTACACAATTCCTGTTTTGAGTTTTAATCAAGGTTTGTACTATGACACAAAAAATAGGACAAGAGTGCCCTCTAGTGATTTATGAAGACATACACAGAAAAAGTACCACCTTCCAGTGTCACATCACCAAGGCTGACTGCATATGTTCAGTTATCAGCACATGTATTGTAAGGATTCAAATAAAATATAGCTCGGTTTAATTCAAACCTGTTTATTTAATCAAATCCAAATCCCTTACAATAACAATGAATCCAATACTGTAACTTAAATGCATTATGTGGAGATGTCAGTGCAGAATGGAGATATAAATTAAATGATGGATTTCTGTTTCCATGAAATGTGAAACAATACTGTTAAATTGGAGTGTAAAAAAACAAACTTTTTTTGAGGATGTTCATGAATCAAACACTGTTTTCTGTAACAGGGCAAAATTGTCGGCCCAAGTTTTTGATAACAATTACAAAGGAACAATAGACAGCATTGGCAGTAAGTTAGATGATATCAGTCCTTTAGAGCTCATCGTGTTGGTAAGTGAATTCCCTCGCAGATATAAAACCATCTTCATCTTCATCTTCATTTTTGAAGATGTCATCCACCATCACTTCATGATTTGTATCATTTGGGGAGTATCCATGCTTTTCAAATTCTTTCCTCAGGTACTCTCTCACCTGCAAAGCAGACAGTATAACAATAATAAAACACAAGCAATATAAATATATCTATATATTCTGTGAAAAGAAAACACACCTCTTCTCTGCAGAGCTTCCAATCATCATTTAGATCCATCTCTCGGAAAGAATCGTGTGACCTGGGACCATTTCGAATCTCCATAAGCTCAATGTCAAAAATGAGTGTACTGCCTGGAGGAATCTTGCCTGTAACCAAGAAAAGGATTAATTTTTAAAGAAGCACAAGGTGTTTTATAGTGGAACAGAGGGGGGCTTTGAATCCACAGACCCTCTCAAGCATGTTTTTGTGTGTTTGTGTCTGATACCTTTTCCTTCCTTGCCATATGCCAGAGATGAAGGGACTGTCAGTTTTCTGCGCTCTCCTGCACACATGTCCTTCAGGCCCTTATCCCAACCCTTTATCACCTCTCGAATCCCAAGAGTGAACCACACTGGATTGGTATCCCCATGTTCCCGGCTGCCAAGAGTGACAAAGATCCATCACATTTCATTTAGAGAAAGAAAAGTCCACTGAAATGACAATAAAAGCCTTGAATCCTTGAACTACATACAACATTGATAACACAGATATGTACAATAACAGTCCATGGCTGGCCCCTAACTTTAAAGAGTCAAGCATTAATTGTTAAAGTCTCAATGGACAGGGTCACACATGCTGAGTTTTGGGCTGCAGCATAGTGTAGTCTAGATACATATTTAGATTTGTACAGCTTTTGCCAGCAGTAACTTTTCCTTGTCTAACACAATTGCATTACAATTCATGCAGCATTATGACACTTTACAGCAATAGATTAGCCTACCTGGAAAAGAACAGTGTGCCATTACTCTCCAAGTATCCCTCGTGGTGGACAAGAAGCATGTCTCCATATTTTGACTTACGGTAACACATGAAGGGTTTATATAAAACTTCAATTTTCACTTCTGGCTCAGGCAGTTTTCCTCCGGTTACAAAAACAAATAGTGAGGGAAAAATCAAACACACAGAAAAAAGAAACATTTTTGAAAGAAAATAGCTAACTAACTAGAAAAATGTACAAAAAGCTAATTTAAACCTTTCCATAAAATGAAGTTACAAAAATAAATACATGGGAATGCCAACTACGTGGCAGCCAACTTCTGCATGAAGGCAGCCACTGTTGTTCAGCTTGTCTGGCCTCCTCCCTCTACAATTGGATAGAATATTTCAGAAGCCCCGCCCTTTATATGTGTTCTCTCATTCTATTGGTTTTTCTTTATGTCAATTGCCACAAACCTCACCCACAGTATTAAATCCATCTGATGTAAATGGGAGGAACGTCGTTAGCTCCTCTTAAAAGAGCTTAGAGCTCGATTCGCGAAATAGTTTACGTACTTTTATCTACGTAGCTGACATTCAAAGCCTCGGACGCTACTCCACAAATCACTCTCGGGGCCCGATGGAGTCGCTGCAATCAGCTGTGCATCATATCTTGTTATGATAAACAAGTAATGAACGGCTAAACACACAATTAAATATGGAAGGAATGCTGCATAAATGGACCAATTACATAAGTGGTGAGTTTATCCCGCAGACGTTGGGTGTTTTGGTTTTTTGTGCTCGTTTTAAGGACGCTAGCTAGCATGACAACGTCACTTGTGTTGAGTTGGAGATAACGTTTACAGGCAAGCTAACGTTAGCTACCATGGGTTTAACTGTCGGAGATTATCCACCACATTAAATTAACTAACGCTTTTCTTTGACGTTGCTTAGTTAGTCGATTAACAAATAAGAATGTAACCTTATTAATGTAGTCTTACAGGAACGCTATCTAATTTAGGTCCCTGTCTCTGTCAATATAATGTAATTTTAACAACTGATTAGCTGCTGCTAACATAACCTAAGGGTTAACTATGTTCTTTGTTCATGAACCTAGAGCACAATGTTTATTTTGATTTATACTAATTGATCTCTACTTTTGAAAAGTGAACCCCCTATAAAAACTTGTAAAAACGCAACGTTGCATATATCTGAAAAATATGAATTACTTTTTTTCAGGCTGGCAACCTCGTTGGTTTGTACTCGATGGGGGAACCTTGTCTTACTATGACTCTCAAGAAGATGCCTTGAAAGGTTGCAAGGGCAGCATTAAAATTTCAGTTTGTGAAATCCAAGGTTAGTTTTGCTCACTACTGTCTTGTGGTTCATTCCTCAAGAGTGTAACTTGCTTATGCCTTTTGGATATAGTCCTGACATGTCTCCCTGTTTGTTTCAGTGAATCCCTCGGACTCTACACGAGTTGACCTGACTATACCAGGAGAGCAGTACTTTTACCTCAGAGCCATCAATGCAGCAGAGAGGCAGAAGTGGCTGGTGGCATTGGGAACAGCCAAAGCTTGCCTTACAGATAACCGAACAAAGAGAGAAAAAGGTATTTGAATGTCTCATCATCCCAAACGGACATTGCATGGATTGCATTTCCACAGCTAGTATTTTATCATTAACATGGCTGTCATTCTTACAGAGCTCCATGAGAATACAGATGCACTGAAAACTAAGATGTCAGAACTCAGATTGTACTGTGACCTTCTTCTACAACAAGTAAACAAGATCAAGGAGAATGATGAGCTAGGAGACACAGCAGAGGTAAGGTTAAGGTTTGGATGAGCCAACGAAATAAGAGTAGCTGCTGTTGGTGTGAAACTGCAGTGTATAGGGCAGGGCAGGCCACTAGAAGACATCAGATTGTTTTGTGCTTACTGATAGACCAGACAGGACCCCACATTTAATACAAGTATGCTTCTTTCAAACATTTTACTAAATTGTATACTCATCTATTTGTATGTGTGTGCTCTTTTCAGACAGAAATAGACACTGGGAACATGGTGAAGTCTACATGCACAACTTTCCTTAAGACTCTTGAGGAATGTATGCATATAGCAAACCGTACGTTCAGTACAGATATGCGAACACACAGTCCACCAGGATCTCCTCCGGTAGCAGCCATCAAACCTCAGAAGGTAAAACATTTTTCACCACTACAATGTCAACTCATAACCAATTAACGTCTAATTGGCTTGTTTAAACTGCCTTCTGTCTTGTTCCTTCAACAGATCAAACCTGTCAATCATTTAAATCAGAATCTTGGAGAAAAGTAGGTTGTCTTTTTTTATGTCATTATGTATTTATATTGCTTACACTGCTTATCCCTCTCTCATTAACTGTCACATGTGTGTTAAAGTCCCACTCAACAAAATGAGGCTGAAACGAAAAACCCTTTTATGGTGTTATAATATTTTGTCCTTTTTTAATGATGATTATGACACAATTGGCAATTATATTTGCCCAAAATAAGTGCATGCCTTTTTATTTTTTATTTTTTTATAAATAACACTCACACCACACACACATTTATTGCAGATGGAGAGATTTGTCTGAAACTTCAGGAGAAGCGGTACCACAGGACAACCAGAGCCTTGACTCTGGAGCAGAGGGACCAGCAGAGCCAGACGGACCAGGACAACATTCTTCCCCTTCAGGTATGTTAGCTTTCCCAACAACTCTCTGCTCGTGCTGTGGCATTCCCTGAACTGAAACCATTCCTGCATTCCATAAAGAAAAGCCTGCACAGATCAAACATGGCATGGTTGTTGTGTGTTCATCATCTGAACTGAAGTGGATACATGATTGCCTTTAGTGAGCTGACAGTGATGGATGCCCCAGTTACTTTATTGCATTTCCCTTAGCAGTAACAGCTTTTATTCAGGGCAAGCCTCTGCCTCGATGGAATAGAAGACCTAAGACTTTCCCTATTTACGATGTTGGATTATCCATAATATATATGCTATGCAAATTCATTATTCAACAAGTAAAATACATTTGAAGTTTACAGATGATGTCTCCTGTAGGGATTTCCTTTATTTTTAAAGTTTGTTGGAACTTACTTGCAGACTAACTCTTTTAAAACATAGTAGGCTTGTTTGAGACGCGTTGCGGCTCGCCTCGAAAGTAGACGAGAATAGCCGATCGCAGCCGGGGGAGGTCTCAAAAAGCTCGCCTGAAGTCGGACAGCTCCGAGTCGGCTTCTTCTTCTTCTTCTACTTCTTCTTCTTCTTCTTCTTCTCTCGGTTTTTTGGCGGATTGCAAACCACTTTAAGGTGCATACCGCCACCTCCGGAGTCGGCTTGACTCGGTTTGCATTTATAAAGAATGCACACATAATCGTTAATGTCAGATATGTACTAAGTAAATACATTTGTTCCTGCTCAAGATTAGATTCAACTTTATTGTTATTGCACATATTACAGGTACTGAGACAAAGAAAAGCAGTTTAGCTTCTAACCAGGAGTGCAACAAGCAGTAAAGTGAAAAGTAATGTACACAATCTACAGAATAAAAGATAGAATGAATTGAATGATGAATAAACAGTGAGGGGTATGAATACACTAGATATACACAGCAGCCTGTGAGCAGTATGAACAGTGTGTATGAATATGCTAAGATATATAAAGTATGAAAACGGTAAGCAGTGCAAGTATAGTATAATATATAGATATTAATTTCATGATGATAAACATTGTGGAACAATGATGAAAAATGTGAATGGAAGTGGCGACGTAAAACTGACACCCAACAACTTTTGCCGAGCCAATTGGAGAGTTTCATCAGCAGCACGGGGTAAAACCCACCAATGAGCGCTCAGCTCGAGATACCAGCGAGTCGTTTCCCATCAAGCATTTCGCCTCCGCAGCCCGTGGAGAGGAACTGCGCCGCCTCGCCGCGCCTCCCTCTCAAGGCGGCGGGCGTCTTTGTCCCGCGAGATTTCAAGGTCTCATGTGAGCGAGCCTCCAGAGCAAGTCGGACAAAATGACTAACCATCATGCAACGCACGAGCAAGACGTTGATCGAAATTGCGCAGGTCTGCGCAGGTCTCGCTTGTCTCAAACAAGCCTACTATATCGACAGCAGGAAACAAACAAAGTCGCTGAGAGGCTGAGGCCGGGCCTGTTTGATATTGTGTGACACGCTACAAAAAAGTACTTGTTGAAATCAAAAACTCTGTTGCAAAATAATGTACTTTAATGAAAACTGGGATCCTTGGACATGTACATTGTTATATTAATCGAAGCAATAATTTCAACTGGCGGTCAACAAAAAAGTACAACGGCCCTGTGTCACCCTCTCTTCCACCCACACCTCACGCAGGTGAACAGGATTATAATGAGTGCCGCCCATATCCATGTGACCCAAGCTAACCAATCAATAGAGATCAAACAAATATCTTATATTAAAACATAAAGGATTACTAAACACGTTTCATGGCTCCTACACATACTTTGGTTCAGAATGGATGTGATGCCAAAGTGCCAGTTAAGACTTACACATTATCCAGAGAATGTAGACAGAATATATACGCAAATGCTTGATAGGCAAATGTATGTAAAATATTATAAAAAATCAGACATTAAGTAGCTATGAAAGAGAAACATGTATATGGTTTTAATTGAGGTGTTGGTATTTTCTGTATGGGGAAACAAACCCAAATCAAAACCAAGAGAAGGGATTGAAAAGCATTCCACAAATGCTAAATCACAGTTCGGTGTAGCCTCAGCTGAACAACATTAACACACCCACCTGATGTTACTACTGATGCACTCAAATACGTTTTTCTTTTCACTTGGTAAGCTTAAGCTGTTTTCAAATGTGCTCTAGAAATAAACTTTACTTTTATACTCAATTCAAACTGTAATGCTGCTTTTTGAAGCTTGTAATATATTGTAAATAAAACATCAAATGAAGGATGAGCTTGAGGTTTTCGTCAGCGTTTCCTGCCAGTGGTTAAAAATAATAATTCCACATGAGAGAGAGTGCTGCTTTTACAATGTTCGGATGAAATCTGATTCAGACTGGCTGCTATAGAAATCTTGACTGAAACCTTACTCTGCGTGCCCTTTTGTCCTTCTCTGCTGTTTCTCCCTCAGACATTGATGCTGCCAACGGCAACAGCTCAGTCCAAGAGCAGGGAGTTAATCCTGCTTTACACACTACCCAGAATGCCCCTGAGATTGAACACTACGACCAACCAGCAGAAGAAAATGAATCCGACGAACAAGAGGAGACGAAACAAGAGCAGAAGCACAAAGTGGACCAAATTCAAGAAGAGCAGGACAACAACAACAAGGAAGTGGATGCCGTCCAGCCTCAGCACCAACAGGAAGTAGTTCCAGACCAAGAAGAGGCACAAAGTGAAGGCGAGACCTCGAGAGATTTAGCAGAGCCAGAAGACACAGAGCAGGTGGAAACTTTCTTCAGCACAATGAGTCACAGGTATGAAAATGCTACTCAGGAAGGCCACATCCTTTAGGGTACAACTGTTACTGTATGATGGTCTGTGATATTTCACCATGACAGTGTTAGGGATCTGAGCTATATGTAGTATTTTTGTCTTTGAGGCACCTTTTGACTAAACTGCACATTGACTTAGTTTGTGGAAATATATATTGTATTACCGTGTTGCACAGAATAGGTCTATATTAACAGGTTTGAACTGATTCCATTTCAATTTGTCATTATAAGTGTTTTATATTAGTGTGTTCTCTCTTGATCACATGACACAGAGAGGCCCTCATCTGATATTTGGGTTTGTAAAGCTTCTTTGTTTCACTCTGTGTTTTAAAACGTATTTTAATGTCTTTCTTTAAGACCTTGACGAGTGTTACTGAATAATCGACTAGTGTGTTTATGATCTATTCTGTAATATTCAGTTATGACGTAAACATTATTATAATGGAGAAAAAAAAAACATTGTCTCACTTGAGGGGGGATGGGAGTATTTTGGAGTTGGTCTTTTTTAAATATGTGCGACAGTCTAAGAGCATTAACTGTAAAAAAAAAGAAAGTTGTAGAAAAGGCAGAGGAATAGTCTCAGGTATTGTCAGGCATTGAACTGCATGACACTGTGAATCATTTCTCTGGCTTGGTTTTGAAGTTTGTACTCTTTATTCTGTTTGATTTGATCAAATAAAAACTGAAATGACATACTTCCCTCTAATATATTCTCCTGTTTGAATCTGTTCTACTTTTTTTTAGATTTAGTGATATAAGACTGGACGACGACAATGGTATCCCTACACAAGAGTTTTTGGACTCATGCTATGCAATAGTACCTGTATTAGGTAGGCCAGTCACTTTCAGTCTCTCCTCCTCTTACTCTCCCCTCTTTCTCATAACGCTACACATGTGGACATTTCACCTTTTTATAACCTTTATAAAGAAGCCTTCCTTCTTCTTTGTCTTTTCATCTGTGCATGTCCTTCACGTCGTGTGTATTTAATGAGGTGGAAGCTTTCTTTCATGGGTTTATCCTCCTATTATTTCATGGTCTTAATTTGTTCATTTGCACCTGTATGTTTTCTAGTGGTGGTATTTACCCTTTTGGGACGAACGGTCTATCTTATCAAGTTCATGGTTACCTCATACATGTTAATGTGGTTGTCCTTTTTTGTCTGTATTACACATTTTACACTCTCCTAAACATATGTTCACATGGTCTCTCACAATAATGATTTCAACTTTAAAAACATCATTTGTATTTCACCAACTCTGAAGGCATTTTCCAGGTGGTTGACAAAAGAGCTCCATCAGACTTACTTAGGAGTGAATCAAGGATCTGTATTAATAACTCGACATTTCAATCTGAACAGTTTTGCTCTCCAGCTGTGCTCACACATTTCAAATTGATGACATCTCTCGACACAGACCCAGACGCCATTAACGTCATGCAGCCACTTTCAGAATTGCTAAGGTTCTTAGGTCTTCTAGTGTCACAAGCCTCAGTTATTTTCCCTTCACAGCTGGTGCTCGACCCTCTTCATCATTGCTTTAAAAAGACCGCTGCATTTTCAAGACTGACAATTAATATTGTACAGTCTTAATAATGGGACAGATAACTAAGCATATTTACTTCATAAGAAACAAAAGAAATGATCATGGATTTTCTCTTCTCAGACAAGCTGGGATCCACTGTGTTTGCACCAGTTAAAATGGATTTTGTTGGAAACATCAAGGTACGTGTGCATGTCACTGATATGTAGTCAACTGAACTGCTGAAACAATTTCATAACATTCACCTGCTACTTAGTAATTATTTATCTATTATCTAATATATCATTCCAATAACTTGTATATAGACTCGTATTGCACTATTCCACTTAGTTTTTCTCACTTTTTTAAAAACTATTTTTCTCTTTGTATTACTTTTAATATAGTATATTTTAATATTGTCTGCTTATCTGTATTATTATGTTGCATTGTTGGAGAAGCCTGTGACCTAAGATTTTTAACGACATAATTACTCTGTAGCTATGTTAGTTTGACAATAAAGAACCTTGAACCTTGTCTTACAGCAGATTTCACTATTAAACTAAAGAGAAAGGATGACGTCATTGTTTTAAATGTCTCCAGGTCTTATGCAAAACCTAGTGAATGATGGAATGAATCAACATTACTTTACGATCTACTGTATTTTCTGTAAACAAAGAGATGTTCTGTATTCTGTAAAGAATCAGACATATCTCTCTAATAGTTTATAGTTGTATCAGTTCGTTTTTATGCAAATCGCTCCCAATAGCAGAGTAGAATCAGGATTTATTTTCAGAATCTATGTAACTTTATCACCCCGTCTCTTCACCCTGTAGAAAATCAACCAGAAGCTGATTTCAGCCCCAGGCAGCTTCCCCACTCTCCAGTCCATCGTGCTGCATGAAGTTCAGACGGACAACGCCCGGGTCCGCAACTCGGCCACAGAGGCTCTGCTGTGGCTCCGACGAGGCCTGAAGTTCCTCAAAGAGTTCCTGTCAGAGGTCAACGCAGGAACCAAAGACATCCCGGGAGCGCTAAGTGAGTCCGATTTTCATTCTTTTACGGCACACACGTCAACAAAATACGTTCATATGCATATAACTGTTTGCATGTTCTCAGTCCCCTCTGCCCCCACTGGACATGGACTTTAACACCACACACACTCAGACTCAAATCCAGCACCAGACACTTTTTTTTTTTTACGCTGCTATGGACAGTCTTGCACTAATGTACATTCTCAAAGGTATAGGTATATACATATTTTTATTAGGGCTGTCAAACGATTACAAATGTTAATCAGATTAATCACAGCTTAAAAATGAATTAATCACCATTCAAACTATGTCCAAAATATGCTATTTCTTTATGTATATTGTTGTGGGAATGGAAAGATAAATGAAAGAAGGCGGATACATCCATTTAACATACGTATGTAGGCCTATGTATGTTTATTATAACATTGTTCTGCGTGTCAAAATGAAAGACAGCCCACACACCTATCGATCATCAAACCGTGGGGTCTTATTTCATTACGTGTTGATTTCTATCAACACGTAATGTTGTATCGATGTATATAGAGATGTACTACAGCAAAAGTATTCTCCGTCAGGACTTCCTGCAACAACACTACGCCGTTATCTTGATTCTGATTGGCCAGAAGACATTATCAAAGATGTTCTATTGAGAAGACGATCACTATGTGACAAAAGTTTTCAAAACCGTTTCTAGTCTTTGGTATTTCCAGACAAGCGGCTACTGAAATCAATCTTACTAACTGCTGTCTGTGCAATTTACTCCGCGCGAGTTGGCGGACTTTACTTTGCTTACTTTAACATCATTTTTCATGGTGGGGCTAAGCCATTTATTGGTATGGCTGTAGCCTACCCCAGCCATACCCTGGCGCTGCCACTGGTGGGATGTATGGGGCGGGCCATTCTGCACATGCGTTAAATGCGTTAAATATTTTAACGCAATTAATTCAAAAAATTTATTACCGCCGTTAACGCGATAATTTTGACAGCATTAGTTATTATATATTATGTGTTACCTGCTAGTGTAAACATTTTGTAACATGACAAAGGCATCTTAAT